CATTCCCATCAGGAACCAGGGTAGGGGATTGCATCTGACATCCCCACTCCTGCCTCCTTCAGCCCTCCAGCGCTTTCCCTCTAGAGATATTGGTGTGAAACCAGCTCACGTGACAAGATGTGGTGATTCATAACCCAGCTGTGGGCTCTGTTGGCAAGGCCATCACAAAGACTTCATGCAGATTTCATGCATCCAGTGTGCTCCAGGAAGCAGCCTGGTGAGCAGCATAGGCGGTGCTCTCAGAAGAGCTCTGACACAACTTGGCTGCATTCATCTGGAGCACGTGAGGGCCAAATGGCTGTCACTTGACAGCAGCTAATAGTGTATTTTTAAAAGGGATATTTTCTACGCTATATTAGATTTCCAAGACATCACCATGCATCTTCAGCCTTATCTTTTCATCTCGATGGTTGTTTTTTTTTTTTGGCTCTCCTATCAGTCTTTAAACACACAAGCAGGGATTATATGGATAAGCCCACAGCATCTTTCATCCTGGCAGTGGATTATCAATCACAGTTAATTAAGGTTGGGGCTCTGTAAATGACACAGCTCAGCAGTGATTCTCTTTTCATCACCATCACATCACAAGAGGCTCAGTGGCCATTTTGCACACAATTCCTCCATGGCAGCATGGAGTCCCCTCAGCACTACGGTGGGTGCAGATACCCACGCACTGCACCCCGCCTTCCTCACCATACGCACAGCTACTGCCCTCCTTCAGGAGCACTGGGATCTGCCATGACCTACATTCATTGTTTACAAACACACAGCACTCTGCTTACAAGTTTACGGCTTAAAGCCCCCGGGCAGCAGCCACCCAGCGCCCACCCACAGGCAGGGATGCGTCCTGCTGAGCCCAGCCCAGTGGGTTGCAGGTCCAACCCACCCCCCTCAGCAGCACTGCCCCACAGCCACGCTGCCTCACAGAGCTGGGAGATCTCTGGGAAGTGATGGTGAACCAACTCCCAGCACAGGGAGAAGGGCATCCCAGGAGCTGACTGCACACCTGCAGCACCGCAGGATGCAGCTGGTGCAGGACCCCCTGCCCAAGGATCTGCACACCCCTCACCTCAGTCATGCTTCGGAGCCAGGTGTAAGCAGCTTCTTGTAGTCACGTCTGATGGTGCTTCCTGGGGCTGACAGCTGGGCTCTGAGTGTTTAATCTTGGATATGTGCATGCAATCCCAGCCAACAGCAGTGCATGAGACAGCTCATAGCAGATGCAGGCCTCAGCACCATGCAGCCCTATGCTCTGGGGCAGTCCCTCTCCCTGTGTTTAAGTCCTGAGCTAAAATGAGCTCTGAGGCGGGATGAGGACTCAGGGCCGTCGAGGTGTGAGCCTGGCGCTGGGCACAGCAGCCCCCAGTGACCCCAAGCAATTTGGTCTGGATTGGGCTATGCCCATTGCTGGGAGCACTGCAGGAGCTGGCACTCTGCAGCAGGGCTGTAGCAGGGAGGCACTGGGTATGGAGGCTGGGGGGGGGGAATGGAGCTCCTGTGGCAATGCATCCCATCCCCATGTGACTCACAGCCCTGGGGCAGCACATGGTAGATTTGCCAAGCACTGCTGAGAGTCTGAGCTCTGCCTGGCACTGAGCTGCGCTCCCAATGAAGACATGTGAGAGACCACAAACTGTAGGACATCTCACTGGGGCAGTGGTGCCATGTTGCACCTAACCCACAGAATGCAGACCCCGAGGGAAAAGAGATGTTCAGCTGTGCCTCTGCTGCCCACCTGGCCCAGCACAGAGGGGGAAAAATGGCAACAAAAATGCAGAGAAGGAAAATGAGTGATTTCAGAGTAATAACCTTGGCTGATTTTAACTCTGGCGTAGATGAAGGGAATGGAGCTGGGATCTGCTCCCATCAGATGGAAGCAAATTGGACTATTTCCCAGACAGATTGGCCCCAGCTGGAAAAGAGAGAAAGAACGCGATGAGGGAAGATGGCTCCAGCAGGAGAACAGCAGCTCTGAGGTATGGCCAGCTTAGAGATACTATCGAATCAACAACAGTAGCCATGGCTGGCAGTACCAGAGAAGCCAAAAGATGGAGCTTGTGAAAGATGATAGTAAATTAGGGTGCAAAAGTGGCCAGGCTTCATGGGATTCTTTTCTGAGTGTGACAAAATCCGCTCCATGTCCCAGCCTGAAGGACAGAAGCAGGGCACTGAGCTGTGGGTGCTCGGAGCCACTCCCACTCTGCGGCTCCTGGGAGCAGCGCAGCCCCTCATGCTGTGCACAGCGGCACCAACACGGGCAGCCTGAGCCCGCCCTGCACCCTGGGCAGCGCTGCTGCCCTCGCACAGGGACAGACCGTGGCTCCTGGCCTATGGCCCAAAGGGCTCAGGGTCCACTTCCCAGAGCCACGGTCTGTCCCCTCAGATGTGCCACTCCAACTCTGTGCTGGGCTGGTAAAGGGCTGCTCTTCCAGGCTGCTGGGCAGGAGGCCCTGAGGATTCATTACTGCATCCTCAGGCAAAGGACGAGTGTGTTAGCAGCCTCCTTGGTGTAAAACATGTAGCCCTCTCCAGGACCTGCCCAGATCTTCCTTCTTTGAAGGTGCAGCAGCAACGGATGACCTATGTGGTGACAGCAATCTGTGTTGTCTGAAATGTTGAGTGTTCCCAGGTGCTGCAGACAAGAATCAAACATTCCAAGTCAGGGCAGGCAGGCTCAGTGCCAGCAGTAAGAGAAAACAAATACAAGAACTGATCTATGGTGGGCTTGCTTGCTCCTGTGAAGTGGCAGCAGGCAAGGATAGCGTTTCTGGGGGCATTCACAGAGCTGAGCTCAGCGTGGTGTGCGTGGTGTTACGTGGTGGTTCCTGCTGGAGGAGGTGACCGGAGCGTGCCTGAGGCTGCTCGCTGTGGGATTTCCTCCAGCACTGGCCAAAATGGAGTGCAGTGGGAAAGGAAGTGAGTCAGAGCCAGAGCTGCTGGTGGTGAAGTGAGAATGGCATCTTTAGAAGCTGCAGCTCGATTCGGCCTGCAGGGATGGCCACAAGTAGCGGAAATTGAAAGTTTGGCAATAAGGGCAGCTCAGCCCATGAGTCCAAGGGGTGAGGCACTGCCTGGAGAGTCTCCTGGAGCACAAACAGGGCTGCTCTGCTGCTGCCACTGGGACTGAGGCTCTCTGGTCTTCACACTACGCTGTGAGCTTGGAGGGATGTGTCTTGTTATGAGGTGTTTCCCCACCAGTGCCCTGTCAGAAACACAAGATGCCAATTTTGCAGCCCCAACTGAACCCCATCCTCACCCTGGAGGCTGTGCCATCTCCCCCACTGTGGTGCTGGCTTTGTCCACCAGGCCCCATTGATTAGTGACACTGCAAGCACCTGGCAGAAGGCACTGGCAGTAAGCAGCACCTGGGGTGAGGGACATGGCAGGGAGATGAGGGGCATTCTAATGACAGGAGAGAGCATCCTAAGGCTGCTCAGCCTTACAGCATCCCTGCGGCTCCATACATGCACCACTCCACAGCGCAGGGAAGGTCCCTCCGTCCCAGCCATAGCAGGTCTCGGGGCTCTATCAATGTGGCCGTTGTTCTGTGCATTCTCCATTCCGGCCCTAGAGACCTCCCAGTCTCTCGATTTTCCTCCTTTTTTATCCGGAGCCTGTCCTGCAGCGCAGCAAAGGCGCCTTTTACGTGCGCTCTCCGTGGCAGCACACGGCCCGGGGCAGACGTAACTCAGCGAGGCCGGGCTGGTTCGGCTGTGTCGGGTGAGGCAGCGAACAGCGCTCTGCTACTTCTTAGGAGACGCCAGGCACTCTGCAGAGGAGGAGAGGAAAGCTCGGGGCCGGGCAAATAACTCTCACTGCAGTCACAACCGCCACCGCGTCTCAGCGCCGCGAGAGCCGCGTGCGGGCTTCCGCCGCGCGGAGCAGCTCCCGCCGGGCTGCAGCGGGCCCTTGCTGGGCTCTCGTGCACACGGGCGCGGATCCGAGCGGCAGCGGCCAGCGCGGTAATTCTGCAGCGACCGCGGCGGCGACGTCGGGCCGGACGGACGGCGGCGCAGGACAGGGCGCGGTGCCGCCGCGCGGCCGCCAGGTGGCGCCAGAGACCGGGGCGGCGCGCGCGAACGGACATCGGCGTCGTGGGCGCCTCGCGCCCCGCGTCCCGCGCTCCTCGGCCCGACAGGCAGCACCCGCAGCTGCGGGACGCTCCGACGCAGCTTCGCGCCTGGGGCTTTTTCAGATGAGCGTAGATCGGGTTAGAACGACGACAATCTTTTAAGATAACTGAAGTGAGGATGATTCACCGCTCGAGTCTCAGGGCCCGGGTGCCTCGGCAGGAGTGCTGTTGTGCCGCCCGGGCCCCACAAGCACAGCCCCCTTTGCATGGGCAGCTTAGCACCGAGCTCATCCTACCAACCCATAGAGAAAAGAACCAAACACGTGAGAGCCACCCCAGCCCATCCGTTACAGCCAGGATCCATACAGCTCTCTGAAATAGGCAGCATGCCCGGATGAGTGTACATACATGTACACATGCATACAGACACACACACACATGCACACACATACAGACGCACACATGCACACACATACATGTACGCACATACAGACACATGCACACACACACAGACACACACATGCACACACATACATGTACGCACATACAGACACACACACATGCACACACATACATGTAAATACATACAGACACACACACACACACACACACATGCACACACATACATGTACACGCATACACACACACATACAGCCTGGTACCCGCAGGAGCTGCGGTGCCTGCGCTGGGCTGTGCTGAACTGCTGGAGTCGGAGCCCCTTCATTCTCACCAAGGCAGGTGGGTCTGGCCCACCGTGGGATGGAAGCTTGGTAAGAAGAGAACTTGATCAAACTTGAAGCTCTTACAGGGGAGGGCGCGATCAAACTCGAGCTATTAGGGCTCAATGCACTTTCCACCCTCTCCCCACCCCCTATTTTTCTTTACTCCTCTCCCACAGCCCCATGAAAACATTCCAATCAATCCAGTGTTAATAGCTGAGGTCTTTATTTACTTTTTTTTTATATACAGTAAATGTGTCACAGATAAATCTGCAACAATCAGACAAGACAAATGTAAATCTCTCTCAACGATTAGCAGCTTAAGATCTACAAACTACAGTGTTACGTTCACATGTGTCATCTCTGGACTCTTCAATCCGTGCAAGTGAGTTTTTCAGTTTATTTTTTACACTTTTGAAACACACTTACAGCTAAATCAATTGCCTACCACTACACCACCTGGCACACACGACACAGACACACGGCTGTAACTCTTTAGCCACATTCAGAATTCACTTAAAAACTGTCAGAATTACCCAACCTCGGACCCCTTTTGTAGCTTGGCTTATTTTGTTATAATGCTGCCTTTTTGTTTAATTTAAAAAAATGCATATTTCTCAAAGCTGAAAGACAGTGTTTTTCTGTCCCAGTGCAACATGTACAGAACTCAATAATTAATCTGATCAGACCCTAAAACTCACAGGACTGGAATAAACCAATGAAATCATTGCTGTATCTGCATGCTCAGTATCATTAAACTAAACTAATGAAGCTGAGAGGAAAGGGAAATTCATCAAATCAAAACCAGCCATTTTTTGCATCAAGACGACTTTTTTGTGTTTTTTTTTTTTTTTTTACATTGAGAAAACAAATAGGAAAAAACAGATGAGCTTCACTCGAACCTCAGAATTTCTCTGAAGAGCTGCTGCTTCCCCAACTACCACAGTCCATTGCATTCTTCCCTTTTCATATCCCAAGCTGATATGCGCTAAACATGTCCAAATAATTCCAGAATTGTTCCAACTCTGAATAGGAAATGTTGGGGAAAACATTGTGCAACTCAGAGATGGTCACTACAATAGTGTACGTCCATAAGGAGGCCCACAAAAGGTACTCACACGTGCACACCCACACCACGTACTCTTCTACGCATCATCCAGGAATGCTTAATCAAGAAAGCAAACACAACCACTTACAGGGAAAGGGAGCCTTAAAGCTAGAATCACATCTCCAACAATATAATCATTGTTAACCTATCAGAAATCATCACCGACCTTCAAATCGAAGAGGGAGGAACCCAAAACATTCTGCTAGCGCAAAAGGCAAAACACACGGCAGTCCTATTAGGATAAGAAAAGTGGATGCAGCATCATATGTGGCATTACTGCAGATGACTTTCTGGAATGGAAAAAAGGTGTCGAGAGAGAAAGAGACACAGACAGACGCAGCCTAGAGCCACACACCTGTGGCCTTTGCCACACAGTTTTGAGGTGATCAGTTTCTATCAAGCCTACACCTGGCAAATCAGCAGACGGCGTTTACTGACCGTGACACAGTTGAGACACCAAATGAAGTCAGGATATAAAGAAGAAAGACAATCACTGCCTTCAGATACTACAGATGAGCGGCACTGAGCCTCCAAATCCATTGGCTTCCAATTGCCTCCTGCTTTGACCACAGGAAAACCTACCGTGAGCTCTTTTAGAGTGACCAAAACGGAGGAAAACAGAGGCGCAGAGGCCAGGAACCACAAATAAAGGCAACAACGCTTTTCTGTTATGTACCAAATTATTTCTCACTGTTATTCATGCTGTTATTTCTGACAAAACCTAACGGAAGAAGATGATTATCCATGTAATCTGTACCAGCCAGATAAGGATGGTAAACAGAACGCAGTTTCACTCGAGCTAGAAGACCTGTCCAGAGGGGGAACGGTTATGCAACCTTTGCTCTGTGAGAAGAACGATTCTTTTTGGCTTAAGGAACTGCAATTGGCAATTTGCGCTTGAAGCACGACAGGAGCAGATTAGTGCATACAGTGACAAAGGCAGGCGTGCTGGGATCCCTGCAAGGGTACCTGAGTTTTTTGTGAGTATGGAAAACACACAAAGAATCTCCGAAGACTGGGTGAGCTGTGGAGGGCTTACAGCGGCCAGCAGCCAGTTAACCTAGTTCAGGGGAATTTCTAGAGGCCAGAATTTGCATCACAGCATGGCATATATTATATATATATATATATATATATATATATATACATACACACATATATATACATATATACATATACACACACACATATACACATATACAAGTACAGTATATATAATGCACATGTTCCATGTATGTGTATGTATGATCTCAACTGGTCTAGGTCACCTGAGCAACATTTAGTTCCTAGAGAGAACACAAACCTGGAGGGAAGAATAACAGCACATCTGAGCAACCACCACAAACGGTGCTGAAAGACTCCTGGAGCCTGTTAACATTTCATGGAGATGGAAGCTGTATGCTGACACTGTAACGCCAGAAAGGGGCACCAAACTTTAAAGAAAACAGAGTGAATCCGTATTCCTTCGCCATGCAGCCTTGCCTGCCAGTGCCAACAGCCGTCAGCAACAGCAGCACTGCTGGGCCTGCGAGGGTACGCTGAAGCTGACATTTCCTTTAGGGCTCTGACAGTGCACCTACACGAGTGCTTGCCCTCACAGACCAAGAAGAGGATGCTGTCTATGGCACACTACACAGATACAGTCTACTAATCTCTACACAGATGATCTGATTAGAGCCTGACAGGAGGAAAACTTTGGTTTCACTCTTTAGGAGTTTATTTAAAAACTGAATCAGGAATATTTCTGAGGCAATCATTCCTGGAAGCAGACTGTTGATTCAGCACTTCTTTTCTTAAAAGAATGTTGCCTAGGAAGGTATGCAAAGAAATTCCCTATTCTGAACCCGAGGCCAGGAATGAAAGATGATGTTGAAGCAAGAAATATACATGTATTCTCTTTCACATCTGGAAAAAGAAAAAAACAAACAAACACCTGCCTGACAAGAAAGTGCGGAGAGGATGGATGTTATGGATGTTCTTCCTGATGCTGCATCTGTGTGCTCAGGAGGACAGAAATGGCATATGAACAGCACTGTGTTCCAGACAGGCTGGCACTAGAAACTGCCGTCTGTCCTCCTCAAAACTGTTTCAGGACAAGACAGCTTACAATTATTCACGCATTTCTTCATTTAAAAACATCACTTCTTTATTTAAAAGGAAAGAAAAAAAAAAAAAAAAAAAAAAAGCAATGACCCTCCCATCCCCTTTAAAAAAAAAACAAACAAACACAACAAAAACCAACAACCCAATAATAATAATAATAATAATAATAATAATAATAATAAAAAATCCTATTAGAAACGATAAGGAAGCACTGAGAGTTTGAGTATAACACTCTTCAAGTATGCTGTTTGGATTTTTTTTAAATCTGTGAATATACATACATTAAAAAAAAACCTTAAAAGTGCGACCAAGGGCTTTGCTTAAAGGTAAGTGTTTCAAGGACTACTTCAAAATACTGCAGCACGACTGTGCAGTTTCTGTATGTGGCACGAGGCTTCCACTTCATACGCTTAGCAAAGTTAACCAGCCTTCTAGAAAGTCACTGTTCAGTCAGGTCAGCACGAATGGCAAACCCGACGCTGAGTCGGGAAAGAGATCCACACGTTGTTTTGTTGTCTTGTAAAGAAACCACTCCAAACCCACACATTTGGACATGGAATGTGAGCAGACTTCACAGTAAAAGTTTAGTGTTACAGGTTTGCTGTGGTACCATCCCTCAAGGCTGCGTGCACTACATTTAGTTTTGCTCATCTTAAGTTAATCACATTCTTCCTCTTCCTGACAGGTTTAGTACAGTAGTTCAAGCCACAGTTTAAGTTGCCCATTGGTATGCTCCAAATTTCGGTATTTTATTTATTTTGTACACTTTAAAGAATCTTAAGATTTGCATCCAAAGAGAACCATGCTACATAAAAATTATCCGGGATTCTCGCCAAAAAGAGTTCTTGAATAAAATCTAAAAAATACTATTGCAATGCATCTCGCAGAGAAAAAACGTTATTCTAAATGTAAACAAATTCACTCAGACACTTTAAAACTTCAGCGGCGCAGTTGCTGACTAATCTTTGCCACGCTTGCTCACCGAGTGTGCTGGGAGGGGGCGATGCAGCCGAATCCTCATGGCATCATCTGGGGGGAGACAAAAACCGTTCCAAGTAGCCAGAGATGGCATCCCAGTGCTTCCACAAAAAGGCAATTAAAACCACTATGAATAAAGTGCTGAACGTCCTATTGCGAGTTTTCATGAGGGGCACGACGCAGTTGGCCACAGTGGAGACAAAGACAAGGAGGACGGCCATGACAGCCAGGAGGATGTTGATAAACTTCCCCAGCAGGTTCCTGGCCGTGGCATTCTCCAGACCCTCCAGCTGCACCACCTGCTGCTGCTGCTGCTGTAGCTCCATCTTGGAGATGCGGGTCTGGCACGCTTCCAGGGCCTCCTGTAGGTAAGAACACACCGCTCGGTTCCAGCGCCCCACGGGCTGATGCTGCAGCAGCCCAGGGCTCTCATCTTAGCAACCAAACCACAGCAGGGCCACCTTCCTCATGCACCTTCTGCAGGATGTAAGTCACGACGCTGATTTCATGTCCTGCAGCAGGAGAAGAGGCGGCGCCACTTCACGTGATTGAGGAGCCCTCACCAACCAAGTGCAGCAGTGTGTAAGACACCGTGTGACCTCGTTTCCCTGAGTAAGTCTTGAAGGCGTTAGGTGACAGCTTTGGCAGAAGCCAGGCTCTGTTACAACGCTTTGCACATAAGCTGTCTGTCCTCGCACACGGCAGAGGCCTTATCACCCTCCCTGTTTTGTGGTCAGATCCATAGGAAGGAAGACAGAGCCCTCAGCAAGCAGTCAGACTTCACCCACTTGAAAGGAGGGCTGCCCATCTCAGTTTGTTTCAAGAGACCCCTGAGGGGATGAAGGCACTGTGTTCCTCCAGCACTCCTCATCCTATGTGGATGCCTCTCATTTCCATCATTTTTTTCCTCTGGTTTGTGCTCACCTCACTCCCATTCAACCCTCTATTCAATCTGGCACAATACTAAGGAAACAGCAACAGCTAACTGAAAAGGCTCAGCTGCATCCTGCTTGGCTACTGAGCTGAAGAAGCCCAGGGAAAGCTCTGAGGATGCAGGGCTGGGGCTGCCCAGTTGGCAACCAGGAGAAGTAGCTGCTACCACACCTGGCCAACACACCCACCACCAACAGCCAGTGGGTGAGTTAGAACAAGTAGGGGAATTTAAGGCAATTTGCTCGCAGAGATATGAAGTTACAATTTCGCCCTCAATGCTCCCTCTGGTCTGCTTTTCCCAGGACCTGAATGCTGACTTTGGTAATAGTCAGAAGTCTGAGCAGAGCAGCGATGTCCCCCAGACTGATGATCAAATCAGAACCAGGACCTGTGCCTGCAGACCAAGCTCTGTTGCTGCTCCTCTGCAGCACCAGCCTATGCCCCCACTGCTCCTTCATGCAAGAAAACTGAATATTTATCGTTCCCCCAGCAATGCTGTGGAACAGCCGGTCTGTATTTGTACTAAAGTTTATACTAAAAGTGATGAGCCAAGGAATGAAGGATAGAAGAAGCTATTGAGAATATCCCTCTTCAGTTTAAGTTTCCAACCTCAACTTTTCCTGCTGCTGAAGGAGGAAAAAATAAAGGAGGATAAAATGTGAATACTGCAACATTTCCCAAAGGGAGAGACTGCTGTTTACTGCCAGAGGCCACAGACACTGATTTATGTTGAACTTAAAGGTCACTGCCATCTGTTACATTTCTCTGCCTCTGTGTATCATCTGCGGAAGTCAATGAAGCACTAGGGCTTCTCTTTAGTTATGCCACCTGAAGATAACAGGTAACCAAACAACACCTGCAAGAAGCAAGGACCCCAAAACGGACACTGACTCAACTCGCCTTGCAGCTGAACCTACCAGTGCCACAAGCCAGGCCTGCCTTGTCTCACCTGGGTGGAACTCCTTCAGAGGAGGAAAGGGAGAACTCTGACCTACAGTTCTGCACTCACGTTATAAATATCTCACATCAGTTATCTACGCTGAGATGCCTGCTAAAGCAAATGCGACAAGAATTTAAAACAGATGACAGATTTGTTTCTGAGTAGGCCTTGACAAGGTCCAGCTGCTGCTCAGATCATTGCCCAGGTCTTTGCTCTGTGTCTGCCTATGGAAGGCCCTCCCATTGCACAGACTATCCTTAGCTTTGGTCCTTAAAACACTGAAGAAACCCTTTTTTCAAAACTAACTGTGTATTTGGGCAAACCAACAGAAATAACTGCTGACAAAATGCAGTGGATACACAAAGCCAACTGTATTTTTCCTGAGATGTCTTTGGTGGCTGTTCTAAAATTCATGACACAGAAATGCATCCCAAATGAGTTCACTGGGAACATTTCTGTAAAAAAAACCAAAAACAACAACAATAAAAAACAAAACTTCAGGTCAGAGACCATTAATTTCCAATATCCAAACAAAACCCTGCAAATTGAGCCAGTATAAAAAGTGAATGCAGGCTTCCACTGTGCTATCAGCCATTTCAAAACCCTTCTCTGAACGAGCGGAGGTCCCCTCAGGATGAATTTGCTCACTGAATGTGCACAGCCTTTCATTGCAAAATGATTATTTGGGGAGATGTCTGGGGGTCAGGGACTGAATAAAGATCTTACGGAAATCTTCAGCGTAAAGTTTAGCAATAAATCTATGGTGATTTACAACAAACTCTGAATCAAAGAAGTATTTAAAAAACAGTTACTGAGGGAGCAGGTGGAAGACCAGACTTCAGTGCTCCCATTTCTGTCACCCACCTGGATGTCCCGGGCTCGCTCATAAGACTGATAGGCAATTTTCTCCTCCATGCTGGCCAGCTCCTGTTTCAGATTCAGGATCTCATTCTGATGGAGCTCAGTCAGGTCATTTAGCTGCTCTTCGAGTCTTTCACATCTAGAAATGAGATGACATGGTACAGCAGCTTTATTGAGAAGAGGGAGGCAACTGTTAGACCAGTAACAACTGAGTAATGACAGACTTGTCATTTAAAAATGGCTGTGCCTACAGAATTTTGCTTTATAAACAATGTGAGGCCCTTCCAGCGGGAATTCAAGAAAGCCCTTCTACCAGGTAAGACAGCATTAGTCTTGTTTTGAGCCAGGGAAAAACAAGCAGAGAGCAGAAATGACGACTGTAAAGAGATGGAAGAAATCAAGTGCAGAATTAGCATATTTATTCTTCAAACTTTTGTTTTAACCTGAATAAGTTCCCTTCTAACACTACAAACTCTTAAGCAATTTCCTCTACACCTGAAAAGTAATTGCAATAAAAATGACAATGAAATTATATCCAGTTATATGCCTTGGAGAACATGATAGCATTTTCTAGTCTTTACACATGAGACTGCACAGAAGTCTGATTTATTGATGTATTTTTAATCTCTTGCAAATGATTCAGCTCAACTAGCAAAGACCACTGCATTACTTACAAGAAGGACATACGAATCACTGAACTGCAGGCCTGTTTTTCAGTTTGCTGTGGTGAGCAGTCTGAGAGCAGTTTGGCAGAAGAGGGCTGCTCAGAAAAGTACTGATGACATTTCTGAGAAAGCTTTGTTTCTCACTGAGAGAGTTTTAAACCGACTTCAGCAACAGCTTCACCTCATTTCAGAATCTTCAAAATCCATTAGGGATACTTTGTATTTGTATGCAGCACTTCACCCTTGGAATTTCAAGCCCTTTACTAGCAACTCATGTTTCAATATGCTTTAAAAATCAGGCAAGTATTTGTCTTGTTCCCAAAGGTAAACATGAAGAGAGCTCAGCCCAGGGCTGAGAACAGCCGACACACCGGCCTTCTCCTCCGTGCTTCCTCATTCCTGGGCCGTTATCAGCAATGCCCTGATGGCAAGGAAGGTACGGGTACAACTATTGCAGCCACTGTCTCTTCCCACTCTGATTTCCACTGACTGAGTCCACTGTAACAGCTTGGAAGAAGTTTAAAGTACAGCTCTTATCGTTTGCTCTTGATGCTACCAACAGAGAAATCTGAACGGATTTCAACACAGATAATTCCTTAATTTCTGTCCCCCTCTGACCCCAACCCTAATTTAATTGATGTACATACATACACACATAAAACAAATAAGCACCACCTCTCTATAAATGAGAATTTAAGTTCTGAAAGTAAACCAAAAATTCTGCTTCCCCCAGCCCCCAAGTTTTTCAGTGCTTCATGAGCTACATAGTCAGAATCCTCGAGCATAAGCTAGTACTGAACAATGCTTTGGGGTTTTTATTTTAAACTGAAAAGTCTGAAGCAAATTTTCATTCACATTCTCAATGCTCCAATTACTTAAAGTAAAAAGGAGGAGTCGGGCTCAGCAGAGCAGTTTCCAACAAGTGGTTGAGCTGCAGGGAGCCCCAGACAGAACCCAGCTGACCCTGCGGTGCCAGGGCTGCTGTGCCACTGCAGCAGGGCACACGAGGGAACTGGTTTCCCAGGAACTACAAGCTTGAGCATGAGAGCAGCCATGTGAAGACTGGCTAATGAAGAAGGAACTCAGATAATTAACATTGCCGTTTGTTTCCACCTCATTTAAAAACAAACAAACTAACAAAAAAATACACAAAACTTGCCATCAACCAAGAAAGCACAACTAAACTCACTCAGGAGTCCCAAAGGCAGCACAGATCACTTGAAACATATTCATTTGTTAATGTATTTTAAAGTCCTTCAGTGGGTTTTCACACCAAAAGGAACGAAACCATTTCTGAAAACACCATGAGCATATACTTTAACCTCCTACATAAACACCCTTCACAAAACAGCTGTTGCTAAGCAGCTTAAATCCTGTTTCTTTAAAAAGAAACAACCGTATTTTAGTATCTCTTCAAACAGCTCTCGAGATACCATTTTTGTGGAGGGAGGGGCCACGTCCTACAGAACATCACCCAACTTTTACTTCTCAAGTACGTTTTTCGTGCTGCTGAACACACTGCTTCCAACAGCAGAGCAGTGTAGCTAAAAGCAATACCTATTAGCAGCATATTCCAAGACTTCTACCTAAGCAAGGCTCGAGGGGCAGAGCTGCTCTGTGTCACTGTTCACGCTGTGCTTCCAGCTTCAAGACCTCCTCTGGTGAGAGAAAATAGCTTTGTGTAAACATCTCAATGCTTCATATTTGGGTGAAGATCCTTCTATGTTGAGCACAAAGCATTCGCTGCCCTAGCTTGTACCGTTCAATCTACCAGTCCCAGAATTTTAGCACACTTGATCTATTTTAAAATAAATGAGAACAGACTGAAGCCCAACAAAATGACAGCAAGGACAGTGTGAGCTCCCAGCATTTCAGCTGGTGGATTTATCTGACAGGAACGTGGGGGATCAGAACACACTTTCCAAGGATGTCGGGCTGGGAAGGAGCCCAAGACCTCAGTGTGGCCACACTCCAATCGCATGAGCTCATTATTTTACTGTGTACAAACAGGTTCCTGAAGGGACAAGAAAGATGAAAACACTCAGCAGGAACTTTTATGTCAGTCTCAATAGCACAGAAAGTCCCTGCTCATATCAGTAAACAACTGCCACCTTCCAACTGCTGAGATAAGCAGCAGGCTGCTGCAGGGCCCGTTCCCAACGTGGAGGCAACACAGTGAGCGCAAAGGTGCAGGCCAGAGTCCTCCTGCCTCCATGACCCGTGGGGCCACCCTTTGCCAGCACGTGCTCCCGGGTGCTGCCAGGCCGCTCCAGCATCCATGGGCCAAGGGCTGGGGTGGCTGCACCAGTGGAGCCTGCGGAGATGGCTGACAGAGCAGCTGTGCTGACAAGGAGAGCTGAATGGGGACGGGAGGCAGATGGAGCAGGTCAAGGAACACCAGCGAGTCAGAACCTTGGCTGATAAGCAGAAACAAAATGAGTATGCAGACAAAACACACTAGAACCTGCAGAAAAGCAGAACATCTAAGAACAAGGAAACGGACCAAGACTGGATGAGAAAACATCACAATCTGTTTTGTTTCTTCCAGTTTACACAGATGATGCAAATATTCCACATAGCCCTATTATAGCAAAGGCTTCTCTAAAATACACATTTTTAAAAACTCGAACTCGGGCTCAGTGCTCGTTTTTGAAAGCATCCAGAAATACAGCAGAGTTACGAGGCGTTAATAGCTTTCAAAGGCAGGCTATGATTAGTTTGAGTCCCCCATCTTGAACGTCAGCTTCCACTTCCATCTTTCCTTTCTTTTTCTGAAGGAAAGGAAGGGTTAATGGCCAGAGGAACAAGTGCCAGCTTTCCACACAGGACAGGAACATCTTCTCTGCTGTCTCATGTCACCACTGCCCTCCTGGCTTTTATCTTCCTGATATTTTAAAAAATGAGGCTGTCAAACAAGAACCTGGACTCGTACAATTTCTCTCCATGTATTAATACACGAGCTCCTTGTGTTACCTGCTCATTTCTGAAAGCCTGCAGAGCACTTAGCGTAGTTCAACCAGTCCTCTCTAGAGGTCACACCTTCCACTAATTCGCATCAGCTTTCCAATGGCAAGTCTCAACCACCGTACTTTTGTCTGTATATATCAAATATAGACTCTCCTCAAAGTTCTTCACTCAAGGCTGCTTTAGAGGGTAGATGCTAGATTTACCCTCAGGGCTTCATGCTGGGCTCACAGAAGGACCTCCGTGAACTTTGCTGAACACTGTCAGGGAATACTACTCCACTTAGCTGCCAACACACATTAGTCCCCAGCCGAGCTCCTTTGTTGTAGTTTCAGGCCACTCCTTCAGCTGCACAGTGCTTGCATATAGCGTTCCACTATGAATGGCTGCTGCTGTATGTGCAAAACAACAACCCACACAGCACCAAACAAGACCCCTCTCTGCTGTGGAGAGGAAGCGCTATCTCCCCTTCTCTTCACAATGTGACCTGATGACAGTGAGGTACTAGGAACCAAAGTTGCTGTGCTGGGCTCTGGTTTCACTCAAATTGCTGACTGTGGCGACGTGGAATTAGAAAGTGATGCTGGTTTGGCTTTGTCTAGCCAAGCTTTGCAAAACACACAGAAAGCTTGCTGTCACTACAACATCCCAGCAGGCTAAGCCTTTTCAAATGTTTTTCCAATGATCTGGCACCGGCATGTCTGAAAAGCTGTAGAGTGACTATGAAGCATGGAGCAAATCAAACTGAGGCAGCAAATGGCACAGAGTACTTCAGAGAGCCTGTCCCCAAACCCGACAGGTGTGCTGAGCCTCATAGGCTTCCCAGCCTGGTCTAAGTGATGAAGGCCACAAACAAGCTTTTCACAAAAGCCTGCTGTCCTCTATCAGAATGAGGAGTTGGGTCCCTTGCATTTTTCATGTAAAGTTTTTGAAGTGCACTAGAAGACTCACACTGCATTTAGGCTGTGGTGTCCTGGGGGGGCCTGGCAGAGAGGCAGCCTCTAGCTATCCCCTCCTCCTGCCCCTGTGGAGCTGGGGAGCAGCCTCTGCTCTGATGAGGGGGATTCTATATATCCTGCAGTGCTGGAGACTGGCACTGTGGCAGCAGCCTCACTGCTTCCCCAGTCCTTCCAGCAAGGCAAAGAGTGACCAAAGCATGGGGCTGGTCCACCTCCAGAGCCATGTTACCTCCATGACAAGAACATTGCCATTAGCTAACTTTCCATTTACCTTCAGTTATTTGAACTTTGCCACTGCGGAGCAGAGCCAAGAATGTAAATTCTAGTTTTGGTATAAGGGAAAAGCACATATTTTTATAGACTAAGAAAGCTGGATATGTTCTTCCCTTGTAGATTCACAGCTCTGAGCATTGGAAGGGTCAGGGTCAGGATACTATTCACTTGAATCCACTTGAACCCTGCCTTACCCCAGACCTTCACAGGCTTTTTCATGGGCAAAGCACTGCCTGGCTAACAGTAATCAATGTACTCCTGTTTCCTGGGGACACCTTTCTAACTTCTTTGGTTTGACTTCTTATGAGGAAAAAAGTATGAAATGACCTTTATTCTTGCTATTCCTTTCTTGTAGAGAGAGGAAAATGAGCAGCAGAATAAGGATATTTACAAAAGACAATATTAGGAAAGCAAAAGCCCAAACTGACTGCAGAGCATCCCACCTGAACCAGGCTGTCGAGCACTACTCTCCAGGACTCTCGTGCTCTCTACCCACAGCATTTAATATGGAAACCAGTAAAAAAGTACTTACCTGTACCGTTCCTCCTGCAAAGTCTGCATTATTAATGAGTAATCCCTCTGATAGCGAACCTTAAGATCCTCAAATGACTCTTCCAGTCTTGCCTGTGTCTCTCGAATTTCTTGAATCTCATGTAGTATTGCATCAAACCCTGAGCTCTGCATATCCAGAGTGTTTGTTTTGGAGCTGGAAGCTCCCACAGGGCCCCCTGTTGTGCTGTTGGCTCCCACTGAGCCTGACGTAGCACTGGAGCAGTCCTCTTCACTGCCATATTTTGGGCTTGACTGAAAGTTCTGGATAACACCTAGAGCCTTGCCTCCTGTCCCATCTTCCTGGCCTTCTTCTAAGGAGTCTTTCAGATTAGCAATATTGTCCGCACTCCCAAACTTGTTCCTGATGAGAGAGGCAATCTCCCGGGGTTTGGAAACCACAGCTCCTGCTGCTGAATGTGTGGCTTGGGAGAAACTGGAAAGCCCACCTTTAACACTATCCACTACTCCCTCACTGAATCCAGTGACTTTCGCTCCAACATCTTTCAATCCCTGGTGCATATCCCTGAAGACATCCTTTGGCTGCCGAGGGATCCCATTTTGTTCGATTTCTCGCAGCTTTCGATGGTAGTGTTCCAGCTTCTTCTGCAGCTGCAAGATCGTCTGGGCAGACTTTTGATTCTTCTTCTCAAACACCTGCTTAATGCGGGCGCTCTGCTGCTTGTCTGCATTGTTGGCTAGCTTCAGGTACTCTGCCACATTGTCATCACGGGCCGTTTGTTCGATTTTGATCTGCTCGGTCAGTTTCAGTATCTTCTGCTGCAGGTGTGTGATGGCTGCTTTTGTACGCTGCGGATCTGGGGTGCCATCGACAGAGTCTGCATTGATGCTGCCATCAGTGCTTGAGGCCACTGCACTGGAGGTCTGTGCTAGGCTGCTGACTTCCAGTCGTTCAATCTAGACAAGGAGAAAGATAAATGTGAGCACTAAAGTCCAGCTGTTCTTTTTTGTACCAATCAAACTGACAAGGATGTAAGTCCGCAAAAATGCACCTTTGTTCAGCTGGCCAAGGTACAGCATCAATAAACTGATCTTCTAAAAGTAAAACATAAGCTTCACGCTTTTTACAGACATCCAACAAAAGATGAGAAAAAGGGCAAACTCTCAAATGCTTGAGTCAGCTGACGGCCCTGAGCAGCCAGAGCAAGACAGAGAATCCTGGTTCACAGACTGGTACCTACAGAGTACTGATATGTAGCCACAGCTCAGACAGCAACGGAACAGAACGAGAGAGAAGGCAACTGTGAAAGAGAAAAACCGTGCAGCTTAAGTATACAGTGAGTCCAAGTAATTCTCAGCACTTCATGTATTTACCGGAAAGCAAGACAGTAGCAGAAGTTATCAAAAAGCAAAAGATCTACAAAGGTCAGTGCTTAGAGCAAACTTGAGACCTCAGGCTCTCAGCATGCCGTGTGCAGCCAGCAACAGGAGCGAGTGGGCACCTACAAGCATGAGGACAGACAAGTTTCAAAGAAACTTTTTTTTTCCTAAAAGCTTAACTATTCACCACGAAGGAACCATAGTAAGTAACCAGAGTAAGCGCTGAAGTTTTCCCCTCGGCTGGGATAAAAAGAAGCAGCCCGGCAGCTCAGCAGAGCCGTGACACCTTCCGTTCTCCAATGCGGTTCATTCGGCGCCACCGAGCGCGGCCCGGCCGACCCCGACCCCCAGCGCAGCCCGCCCGCGGCGCCGCTACCTTGGCCGTGCGGAGCAGCAGCGTCCGCTCCCAGCGCATGGCTCCCGCCGGCACCCGCACGGCTCCGCCGCGGCGCCCCACCTGGCCTCGGCCCGCCCCGCCCCGCCCGGCTGCAGCGCCCGCCCCGCTGCGGGGCCCGTCCGGCCCGGCGGCATAAGGTGCAGCGGCCGCGCAGCCCCGGGCGGGCTGGGGAAACCCGGCTCCGAGAATCGGCGGGCAGCGCTCGGCCGGGCGGAACCGGGCAGCGGCGGTGCCTGCCGGTCGCGCACCCCGAGTGCCAGGGAAACAAACCCCGAGCGGGCCCCCAGGCTGCTCAGCGGGGCAGGAGGACGGCGCGCCTCCCTCTCCTTATTTATTCTTAGGACTTGGCCAGCTAGAAACAATTTCACTTTCGGTTCCAGGCCATGTTACCAGCACCTGCTCATCTACGGGACTGCTGTGTTTACCGTAGCTTAGCGGTTTTCTGAAAAGCAGACCCCAACATGGTGCCTCCATTGCACCACCTCTATTTAACGATGCAAAAACAAATACTCGTTTTGGCTTTTACAGATGCAGCGAGGAGCTCTGTAGCACGCTGGATGCGCAGGCTGATCTCCTTGGGAGCCAGCAGCCTGATCAAAGCACTGGGCAGCATCCCGACTACTTACACAACTACCAGACAGTTCAGAGCTCACCCTCAAATGCAGAACACATTACCGTATCTGTCTGGAGAATATAAGCTTTACCAAATAACAACTATCAGAATTAACCGCATCCCTTCTCCAGTTCCAACATTTTATGTTCACCATTCCTGCAGCCCAGCATCACTGCATGCCGTGTGCAGCGACGGTTCTTCCCAGCAGCTTGGCACTGGGGCTCTCTGCTGTTTCACCAAGAAGAACCAATTGGATGCACGAACACTCAGCTGCCTTATTTTCTAGAGGAGTTCAGTTTGTCACTGTTCCAATGTCTTCCTGTGGTCTGGGAGGAAACAAAGATCTGTGTGCATCAGGCATACATGATCTAGACAGTGCCCACCAATTCCATGTGGCAGCACAGAGCTCCCTGTCAGCAGATCCTTACAAGCTGTAGCACACCACTCCATTTTCTGCTTTCCCAGCTTGCCATAAGCTGCAAAACAGCACACTGCAGACTCCTTTATTCAGTACACTACCACAATCTTATTATTCCTCTTAATTGCCTCACAAAATGAGTATGGTTTTTTTTTTTTAATTAATTTAAAGTAACTCTTTTTATACAGAAGCACTTTTGATCTTGGTGGCAGTAGAGGTGAGTGCCTGATCCCATGCCCAGTACCACCAACTCTTTGGCTGGGAGCTCACCCACAATACAGATCAACTCCAAGCAAAATTCGGCACATTCCAGTGCTGAGGAGCTTCAACGTTACTTTGCAATAAGCAGTTTCTACCAGCTTAATTTACTGCAAGTTGGATCTAAGTAACATCTGTGCATCATTACAATAAATGACACCATCAGTATACTCTATCCTCTCAGACAAGAGTTTTGCGGGAGGAAAAAGTCTGCAGAAACATTCTCTTTCTCCCTTTTAGCGTCAATCAACTTCAGCATATCTTCTCAGGTTGTTTTCCTATACTCATGACAAAAATAAATCAGAAGAGCTGTGTTAGAATAAAACATCCTGGGTTAATTATTTTAGAATGATCAGCTGTGTGGACATTACTCTGGATGAACAAGAGCAGCTTTTTCCAATTAAAAAGTAAAGGAGCTCTGTTCTGGATCTGAACTGGGGCTTTGGGAAGACTCAGCACAATCAGGTCCCTCAGCACACCAGGAAGTGCTGCGACGCGTTATCGACTGAGGATGACTGGCAATCTGTCCTGAAAGTGTGCTGGTGCACAAAATATTTAACGGTCAACGTTTGTACAGAAATAGGCATTACAGTCAATCAGAAATTCTCCCTTGCAATACAGTTTGGTAGCACCCCTGAGTCAGTCCAAACAGGAAGCCTCCCGGCCCCCACCAGCGGGGAGCTGGAGGCTGCTCTGGCACTGAGCTGCCCAGCAGATCGAGTCAAGAGGACCAACTCCTTTCTCCTTCTCCCCATCGAACCTCCATCGGGTCTTCCCTTCTGTACAAGTGTTCCTCCATGCTCATTTCACAACCACTGTCCATACAGAACCTATGGTTCTGCCTTTTGGCTTTGCTAAAGACTAGACACGAATGTTCATTTCAGATGTGTCACCCCTCTACAGAAACCACTTCAGGATTTTACAAAGTTTTTCTCTGCTCTTTTTTTTTTTTTTTTTTGAGAACAAACTGTCCAGCTGGCTGAGGGAAAGAGCAGCACTCCAAACAGGTCTGCTTCAGGGAGACATCCTGCTCCTGCCCCCTCCACCCTCACACAGAGCTTTAAAAGCGTGACTGCAACGCACTGTGCTACTTGGTATAGAAGAACATAGGGAAGCTGAAAAGGGAACGGGGACCGTAAGAGCTGAGAGCAGCCCCGGATGCCATTAGTCATCTCCCAGTGACTGAGCCCTGTGCAGCTGTATAAACTAACTGCTAAAAAATGCGGGCATTTGTCCCACCCTGCTGTAGTTAAAGCAGTGCAAGTCATACCACCAGAAAGCTGTATGCCTTGGGTTCCCTGCCTGGGGATGAGCGCTGGCACAGGTGTGCTGCGGCTGCTGCAGGAGGGCCACAGCAGGAGACAGAAACCTCCCGCCTCAGGCAGCAGAGCGGGGACAGCAGTCTGCAGTGACAGACACGAGACTTCTTACTGCACAGACCTGTAATTAAAGCACCTCGTGGGAATAAAGATCAGAGTGGAGAAAAAAGAAAGGCAGCCTTTCATGCTGACCACGTCTGCCGGCTCACGGCGCCTTGGAGGCCCGAGCCTGCCCTGCAGCCCATGGGCCCGGCCTGCGCCCTCCCAGCCAGGGCTGCGAGGCACGGAGCTGCTGCCCTGAGCAGAGGCAGCAAGCGAGGCCCCACTGCTCGTCCTCTGCACTCCCACAACGTGCTTGGTGTTTATTAAAGCTACACAAAGCTATGTGCTTGGGGTGCCTAATTACTTTTGATCTCTCCCACGTCTCCTTATATTTTCAGCTAGATACAAAGCCATTTACTTCCTACCCTGATATGTTCAGTAGTGACTCTGAACAGCAAATTGGAAGGCTGTTTTAAGGCGCTTTTTAAATTATATTTTCTGTGCCAAAAAGGCAAGCTTTAAGGGAAAAAAAGAATACTCACAAGTGGATGCAGACAAGCAGAACAGCTCTTGAGATCTCTGGAAATCAAAACAAAGATTAAAAAAAACAGTGGATCTTGGAACTGGAGAGCACTACTATAAAACAGGATCAAAACTATTTTGGAAAAGATCATAGTCGAATGTTAAAATTGATCCAGTCTCCCATGTAAACACAGTCATGTTTTACAAAGAATTATCTCAGATGTCCCTTATGAGAGGTTCAGTACCAGAAGACTTCACTTTTCATTGCTCCTGGCTCTAATAAAATTATAAAAACACTTCAGCAAAGGGAAAAGATATTTTGTGATTCCACTCTTGTGAGCCTGGAGGAACTATTCACAGAAATGCCAAGTTGCAGTTCTAAAAATAATCTGATAGCAGATACAAATCAGTGAAACTGATCTCTGGCAGCTGATGTCCAACTGGGTAAGCCATTTCATTGCCATTTTAGAGTAATATTGTAAACAAGAAACACCGATGATTGATTTTTAGCTGCAGCAAAACAAGTAAAAGACTAGAAGTTCCCACCTCACAACACACAACTTTTTCAAAAAGGCACAATCCGTGATCCTGTGGCAGCCATGTGCTCTGTAGCCCCCATTAGGGGTAAGTCAGATCTGCCAGGCCAAATTACAATTTCTACTGCTTGGAAGAGGACATTTTTTCTTATGCTTGGAGCAGCTGCATACTCTGCAGTGTTACACTCCATTTTGCACAAAGTTTGTTCACAGTTTGCTTCTGATGGAAAAACCAAATGCCATAGAACAGGAGTTTGTTGGTTTTTCTTCCTTCCTACTTTGCTGTAAACCATGGCTGGTGAGAATTTAGTAAGGTCCATTCCACTTCCAATAAGCTCATTCCTGCTTATGTCAGTGTGGAATACAGTATATTATTTTCCTTTCTAAAACCAAACAGATGGCAAATTGCACTAAGTAGATTTAGAATAAATGCATCTTGATAAAGTTCAGGATCAAGTCCCTTGAGATTGAA